TAGTAGTAACAAGAAGCTACTAAGAACAAGTGCTTAGTTAAAGGAAAAGTCTACAACAAGAAGCTACTAGAAACAAGTGCCACGCTAGCGTCCGATCGCTCCTAGTAGTAAGGCCAGGAGCCCCTAGTAGCGTCCTTGCTCCTAGTAGCGATGCACTTGTTACTAGTAGCGATGCACTTGTTTCTACTAGCTTCTTTGTTACAGATGTTTGTTGTTTTTAAGCAAAGAAGTTAGAAGAAACGGTTTCGCCAACTGAATTTGAGGCCCGAGTCTCTCTCCAATGACGTGGCCCGGATTCGCCTCTTCGCGGGCGGGAAGGCGGAGATGGAGTTTTGAACGGAGGAAGAGTTGAGAAGAAAAAGAGTAGTTACTAGGAGCTATTAGTAACAAGTGCCACGCTAGTAGTAACAAGTGCCTTACTAGTAGTAACAAGAAGCTATTAGAATTAAATTTAAATAGCTTCTTGTTACTAGTAAGAATGCTCCTAGTAGCGATGCCAGGAGCCCCTAGTAGCTTCTTGTTCCTAATAGGTAGTAATGCCCTTGTTACTAGTAGCGATGCCCTTGTTCCTAGTAGCATTCTTGCTCCTAGTAGTAAGGCCACGAGCCCCTAGTAGCGTCCTTGCTACTAGTAGCGAATGCCCTTGTTACTACCAGCGTTTGGTCCGCCGGACATCGACCGATCGGCCCCTTCCAGGAGATCGGCGGGAAGGATGGAGCAGATCAGCAACGACTCAGCGACACGAAGATCCTTGACCTGCAGAAGATTGGCGTCCCTGCGGTCCACGTGCGCCGGAAGCGACCTTGTCTTCCTTGTCTTCCTTGTCTTCCTTCCTTTCTCAAACATGTTGCATAAACAAACTCTGTTTTCCATGTAAATGTTGTTGCAAAAGACCATGGAAGACGCCCTGACACGTGGAAGAGAAAGATGCTCCCGCTAATCCACCACGACACCTCAAAGGTACAGGGCGTTCCGAAGGCCATGGCGTCCGGAAGCTGAGCTTGGCTGTTAAGCAGAGCGGGTGGGCGAGCTCCAGCAGTGCAGTGCAAAGCTGATTGTTTTGGAGCAATGTAATGGCCTCCAAGCGAAAAATATCGAAAAATGTAAGTGCTTTGAAGCTGCTGAAAGATGAAGTTCTGAAGCGAGTGACTCTGTGCCAGTTTGACTTGAATTTCTTGAGTCTTTCGCGACAGATCAACAGACTCGACTACCCCTCAAGACCCCATTTGGAGCAAGAGCATGTGTTCGTTGGAAGTGAGTGCTCAAATCCAAAGCTGCATATGCTGAGCACGACGAGCACTGCGAGCAAGGGAAACAAAACGAATAACAGTGTGTCTCATTTGTTTGTTTCAGATGTGTCCCAGCTGTCACCTTCTGAGGGTTGCTGTGGAGAACAAGAAGAAGCAGGCCACACCGGCTGTCCTTGGCGATGGAAACATATGTCGTCAGAAAACACTTTATGTATGTAGTAACCAGAAGCTACTAGGAACATCCTTTGCTCCTCAAAACCTGGATGAGAAGAAGCTGCCAGGGCTCGGCATGCGCCTGCGTGCTGATGTGAAGCAGGCACGTACAGTAAGATGCCCTTTGGGCACCAATAGACTTCAGAGAAAGAGATCATTGTTTGGCTAAGTTGCTGATCTCATCGTTTGTAAAACCATTTTTGTTCACTTCGTCAAGCCACTTGGCTATGGCTCATCCCCTTCTCGTCCCTTTCTCCTGCAAACTCGCGGCTTTGCGGAGGCCACGGAGATCGCCTGCGTTTCACCCGCTCACCCACGCGGAGTGATCGCGGTTTCACCCAGGCCCGCTGCTGAAGCGCAGCGGGAGATAGGCAGTGACACAGCGCAGCACCGGAGAGAACCGGTCGAAGGAAAAAGCGAAGAATCCCGGCCGCGTGCAGTGACTGACGCACCATGAAGCACCGCAGCATGCAGCATGTGTTTTGCTCGTTCCAGTGTTGGTATGGAAGGGCCCTGAGACGACCTGAGGGGGAATAGTGTTGAGATGTGTAGAGAGAGAGAGAGAGCGTTCAATGTCAACGTTTAACTAGGAGTTAGATGTTCTAGGGAATAGACAAGTGACCAGTCCGAGATCGAAGTGACAAGCACCTGGTAGCAGTATTCTTGTTGAGTTCAAAACTTGGCCGGAGGAGAGTTGATGACATGTCCCGATGACATGTCCCTAGTAGCAGTAGCGTATTTGCTCTTAGTAGTAAGGCCAGGAGCCCCTAGTAGCGTCCTTGCTCCTAGTAGCGATGCCCTCTGCTCCTAGTAGCTTCTTGCTACTAGTAGCTAGCAGCTTCTTGCTACTAGTAGCTTCTTGCTCCTAGTAGTACGGCCAGGAGCCCCTAGTAGCGTTCTTGTTCCTAGTAGCGATGCTCTTTGCTCCTAGTAGCCTTCTGCTTTGACCCTATGACATGTCCCAGCCGTTTGGATTGCAAGATGCCCGCCATGGCTGGGGAGCTGATCCTCCAGGCACAGTCTCTGGGTGCTCGCCGGCGTCGTAGAATCGGCCATTTGCCGGCGTCCTCAGAGGGACGTCTTGATATCAGTCTGCAGTCACAAAGGGCATCGCTACTAGGAGCAAGGAAGCTGCTAGGGGCTCCTGGCCTTACTACTAGGAACAAGAAGCTACTAGTAACAAAGGGCATCGCTACTAGGAGCAAGTGCCTTACTAGTAGTAACTGTGGTTTGACGCGCAGCCCGTCGCGGCCCTGAGACGGCAAAAGTGGAGCCGTCGAGCTTTTCTAGTGGTAGCGGAGCCCCGTTTTTGGGGCCGTAGTTTGTGGTAGGTAGGGCTTGAGCCTGAGCCATGTCGGGTGCCGATCTCGGAGCCGCGGCAAATGGAGCTGCTGATGAAGGGGACCCTCAAGCCCCGGTGACTGAGGAGATGCCTCTCCCCATTTTCCTACACCGCCATCGCTGAGGACTACATCGGTCTGCGAGGATGGCTGCACCTTTAGAGGTAGCTGGTGGAGAAGGTCGGAGGGAGGCGACGCGAGACGATGGTGATACGGTGGCTGAGGTCTCGACACCAAGCAGCCGGGACAGCGAGGACCCCTGGTTGCAAGGTGATCCCTGGCAACATGTCCCGCAGGAACAACAGCGGTATGCGAATTGGTCCGATACTTCATCCAGGACATCTTCAAGGGCATCCTCGGGGGAGTCCTATGGGTCATGGCATAAGGTGGACTATGGGGAATGGGCTGAGCGAGAGAGCCGAGGACCGATGTCTATTGGGCTGATGAGGCTTGGGAGCGATCGCATTGGCGAGGCTCTCAAGAGGGTTCAGGAAGTGGATGGTCGTGGTCGTCAGAGTCGGAAGGGCTGACTCAGGGGATGGCGGGCACGACCTGGAACCAAGGGTGGAGCTCGAATCGGAATTGGGAGACAGATTCAGAAAGCTCTTACCGCTCAGGACGTTCCTCGGGGTCATGGAAGTCGGCTCAAGAATGGCATGAGCCCGGACTACATCATGGTGTTCATGGCGATGATCCTGGAACTTCGTCCTCCCTATCTCAGGATCAAGGACGACGTGCTGAAGTATGTGCAGGTGACTGGCGGCGGCCTACACCAGTACCACCTGCCGGAGGCCATGGCGGACCAGTGGACGCAATGGTTGACGGCGAAAACCAGGAGGTGACCGCCGAGTCACCTTTGTCACCAGGAGCTCCAGCTGTTCGAGACACCTGGAACAAGCCGACAGGCGAGGTCCCATCTGGAGTGCCATCCATCGCTGGTGGAGCAGGAGGCAGCGGAAGTGGACAGGCGGGCTCTGGAGGAGGGAAGATCTCAACAACATACCCTCCGATCTTCTATGCCCGTCCAGGTGAAAGCTGGGAACAATATTGGAGAACGGTGACCTTTTGGCTGGCTTCCGAAGGCAAGTCACTGCCGGTGGAAATGCGGGGCCCCCGGTTGATGCAGCAGTTGAGGGAGCGGGCCGGCAAGATAGTTCAACATTTGACGGTTGATGAGGTGACCTCCATCCAAGGGGTTGACATCATAAAGAGGGAGATGGAGAAATCACCTATCATCAGGTTGTTGGACAACAAGAAGATCGACAAACGCAGGCAGAAGTTCATGAAGTTGGCCAGGCTTCCCAACGAGAGCATCGAAAGTTTCATCAACCGAGCCGAAATATATCGGCGGGAGAATGAGGCCTCACCGGCCTACCGTGTGGGTTCATGCTTCTATGTTGGCCACCTTTTGGACAGCTGCAAATTGACTCGCAAGGACTTGGCTCTCCTGAAGGCAGCCTGCGGTGGTGACATCGAGGATGAGACCAAGGTCATTTCTGCGATGCTGGAACTGGCAGAGCAGTTCGAAGGGGCGCCATATTGTCCCATCGGACGAGGTGAGCCGCAGTTGGATAATGAAGATCAATATCTGGTCCAAAAGCCAGGCTCTTCTTCCTCCGCTTCGACCTCAGTTTCGGATCCTCCTTCGTCCAACCGGCGTCGTCCTTTTCCAAGGGCCCGGGGTGGTGGGGGCCGTTTTGCCTCCTCGGGCCGACGCCGTTTCCGGGATGCTCTTGTGGCGATCCTGGAGGAGGATGGTGATGAGGACGTGTTGGAGGAGACATTGGCTGAAGTGATGGGCGAGGACTCCGTCGATGAAGATGAGGAGAAGGCTGACAATCCGGGCGAGATGACGGAGTTCACACCGCCAAGTACGCATGACACCTTTGTGACATCAGGGCACCCGGGTGAGGCTTCTGGCACGATCTCCCCGCTTGCAGAGATCTATGCACAAGAGCTCAAGGCCCGCAATCGCGTGAGGGAGATCAAGAAGATGAGACAGTACTTCCAGAAGGAGACTCCGGGTGGCCCTACAGCGGCTCGGGGCGAACATGTCAAGAAGTGGGTGGCAGAGCAACAGAAGAAGGAGCCATGTTTTATCTGCCACCAATTGGGGCATTGGAGCCAAGAGTGCCCGTACAGGCGAAGGGACAAGAATGTCCATGCCGCCAATGTGACTTTTCCGGTATCACCGCCTCAGCAACAGGACTGGGCTTTGCTGGAGTCACTGGCCGCCTCTGGAGTGTATATGGTGAGTCATGATGGGAGGACGGTGACTGGATCGGGGACACTTCATCCACCGGAACGGGAACCCCATCAAGTCTTTTGGGCTATAGACGAATTGGACACCCGGACACACACCAAGATGATAGTCGACTTGGGCTGTATGAAGACGGTAGCCGGAACTACGTGGATCAACCGGGTGGTTCGGAAGTGGAAACAGCGGGGCTGGTTTTTGAGAGTGACTCCAGAAGAAGAGCAATTTCGTTTTGGTGATGGTCAAGTGGTCACCAGCCAGTACTCTGTCATGTTTGAGGTGACGATTGCTGGCATACATGGGGTGCTACGGGTATCCGTGGTGCATGGAAACTGTCCTCCTCTACTGTCGAAGCCGGTCTGTTCCGAGCTGGGGTTGGTCATCGACACTTCATCTCATACGGTGTCTTCACGGAAACATGGGGTAAAGGCATACGGTTTGGAACAATCGAAGGGAGGCCACTATGTGATTCCGATTGACGAAGACTCCGAACTCTCGTGGACCTCGATCGATCGTGGATTTGAGATGCCGGAACACGTGGAGATTCAGGTGTTCGATGCGCCTCGGGGCTCAGCAATTCGCACAGGGGACGATCTTGCGACACCCCTTCCCGGCCTGCGCCTCGTGCATGGCGACGCGCCGACGACCGGAGCACAAGCCGGAGGCCTACGAGTTGTCCCAGACCGAATGGGAAAACGTGGGACTGGATCCGGAGGAGGACCTGCTCGAGATGTCCGCCGAAGAAGCTCCGGAGAACGAGCAGGAGGTCATGGGCGCCTTGCGGAATCCTTTGAGGACGGCGAGGAGGCAGGTGCTGAATCGACACATCCGGAAGTCTTCATCGCAGAGCCCTCCAGCAGCCGCCCGGAAGCAGCGGCAAGCCAGGCCTGCTTCAGCCAAGAAGACAGCTCCGGAAGAGCCAGCATCAGCGTCTACGGCATCCAGGCCTCCACCGATGCAGATGAATATGGAGCAGCTCCAGGCGATGATGATGCAGATGCAGGAGTTCATGCAGGGCCAGAGCCCGGAGAAGCCAGAGGCCCAGGCCCGGGGACGCAGCAGTGGACGAGAGAAGATCCCGGAGTCCACGAAGGTCAAGAAGACGCCGCGGAAGGTGAGGACTGCGGCATTGACGGGGGACGAGGCACCGTTTCCGACACTCTCACGGTGTTCTCCGACGACCCCACCATGAATTTGATGATCAGCCTCAAGTCCCAAACCATGACCTTCAAATGGAAGATGCTGCTGCTCCTGCTCCGGATCAAGGCTGCGGTGGAAACCGAGAAGAAGAAATGGCGCCGCAATCCCAGATGGATCATGTGGATGCAAGGGAACCACATCGCGGCACTATGGGGGCATCTGGGAGCGGCGCGACAGCTTTGCTACTCGCCAAAGGTGGTCTGGCTGGGCGAGTAGAAGAGGGAACAGAGCAGAAGCCGGCCGAACCTACGGCAGAACACTGGGGGCGGCGGCTGGCGACTATGTGACGGCGAATGACGACCACGAGCTCTTCCACTCTGAGTTGAAGGACACTCTTGAGGTCTCCGATGGTGACTTCTCGGCGGAGGGTGACGGCACGGGCAGGGCACCGGTGAAGCACACCTTGAACCGCCGCCAGAGACGCTCCATCGAACAAGGTGTCCAGAGGGCCATTCGTGCACACAACAAATTGTATGATGTCCTCGATGCCAAGTCTGCGGAAGTCGGCCGCTGGACTCTGTTGGAGGTATTTGCCGGTAAGGCCAGGTTGTCAACACGGGCCCGCCAGCGGAATGCTTGTTGGGATGTCCTACCCCCTCAAGATATTCTATCCGGCGGTCTGGACCTTTTGGACGCCGAGCACATCGAGCTTCTCAAGGATGTGATTCGCGCTCAAGAGCCAGATGTGATCACGCTGGCCCCTCCTTCTAATCCTTGGTCGGCCTGGCAGCGACTTCGCAAGCGGAAGGCGGCCCTTCGTGAACTCCGTCGCCAACACCTACCCTTTTGGAACTTGGTGGCATGGTGTTGGCAAGTTCAGAATGCCACGGGGGGCTTGGTGGTTCTTGAGCAGCCTGCCGCTTCTGAAGCTTTGAGGCTGCCAATGATGACACAGCGCCAGAATGTTCATCAACGAGTGGTGCACATGTGCAGGATGGGCATGAAGGACCGCATTTCACACATGCCGCACAAAAAGCCCACTGCTGTGCAGTTGAACCACGAGGCCATCAACACGCCAATGTTCCCGGAGATGACTTGTGACTGTGCTCCTGGCCAACATCAGCCAATCGAGGGTTCAGTGCGCTTGTGGAACCCGGTGGAAGGCAAGTACCAGCAGATCAAGCGGTCCACGCTGGCGGCTGAATGGCCTGAAGGTTTTTGTGACTGGCTTCTCAACGGCTTGGAGGCCTTGCGAGAAGAGAGTGCCGAGGTCACCCTGGAAGTTCATCAACACACACCGTCGTCGCGTATTTGGGAGGCTGTACCTGTGGAGGTGGAGGCTACACCTGAAGGACAGTTGAGGCAGCAGATGAACATTCTAGATGGTCATCACCGGTACGACTACATCTCGTTCCTGGGCGTCTCCGCCAATTTGACCAAGAAGATCAAGTCGACGCTAGCTCATCTGCATGTGGCGCTCGGCCATATCTCCAACGAGAAGTTAGCCCGGATGATGTCCCAGAATGGTGCCAAGACCTCAGTCCTTCAAGCCATCAAGGACCTCGACTGTCAGGTGTGCAAAAGGGTGACGGCACCAACACCCACTCCCAAATCAGCCTATGCTCGGCCGATGTCCTGGAACGTGAGATTGTGCTCTGACACCTTCTACGTTTGGGATGCCAAGGCCACCAAGTATGCAGTCACCCACATCATCGACAGCTTCTCCTTGTACCAGGTGGCGATTGCCGTGATGGATGCAACTGCCCAGACGACAGTCGGGCTACTCCGGGATTCCTGGTTCCGAGCGTTTGGGCCCCCGCAGATCCTGATGACCGATCAGGGGCCCGAATACCAAGGGGCCGTGGAACCGCTGCTTCGAACTTTCGGCGTGTTCCACGACATGGTACCACCGAGTGCATCATGGAGAATGGGGCTGGCCGAAAGACATGGTGCGGTGTTGAAGGTGATGTTGATGAAGATGATCAAGGAGCGCACCATCATTGGCCTTGAGGAGATGCAAACAGCAGTGGTGGCTGCGACTACAGCGAGGAACCTGCAAACACGGGTGGCTGGATATTCGCCCATGCAGCTCATCTTCGGCAAGGAAGTCAGCGTGCCGGGGAACCTCATGGAGGCCATAGCAGGGCAGTTCCACTTCAAGGTGTCGCAGCCCCAAACAATGGATGAAGCACACCATCGAGCTGCTTCAATCCGGAGAGCCGCTACAGAAGCCTATCAATGGCTGGAGGCTAATGAGGCTTTGAAGAAGGCAGCGGGCTCGAGAGCACGCCTACCGAGGATGGAATTGTTGGTCGAGGGCTCCCAGGTCATGTTTTATGAGCCGCCAGTGAGTCGACGGGGGTTGGCTCGGAGACTGCAGGACAACATCTCTTGGGTGGGTCCCGCGGTGGTGGTGGCAGTGGAAAGACTTGATGGGGCCATCAAGCGTGTCTGGATCAGGTACAGGCATAAGCTCCGTGGCCTCCCGCTCGAGCACATCAGGTTGGCCACTGGGGATGAGATTGAGGCCACCAAGGTGACAAAGGAAGCCCTACAACAGTTGGCTGACCAGCTGAAGCAAGGTCGAGTGAATGCCGAGCTGATCCCAACTCATGAGGAAGTTGAAGCACGAGAAGGCGGAGAACAAGTTCGTGATGCACCACCTTCGCGTGCTTCTGCGCCCGATCCTCGTTACCCGGCCATGACTTTGAGTGATGATGAACAAGAGCCGTCGGATGACGATGTCGGGCCGGAAGAGCTGAAGAAGGCTACCTCCGTGTTGGACGACCTGCCGATGTCAGTGGCAGCCAAAATCAGGAAGAAGGGAGATTTGGAGGAGCGTCGCTCGACTAAGCGGAGAATGTCCCCGACAGAACTGGAGGAGTCTTCGATTCGGGCGACGGTGGCGTCATCATCAGCAGTGGATCCCGCCATGCAGACAGTCCGACAGAAGCGGGACTTCTATGAGACTGCCTTCCGCACTACGCAGGAGCACCTCAAAAAGATGAAGACCAAGTTGGAAAAGAAGAGCGCCCTGATGATGGAGCCGGTGGTCCCAGCTGCAGTTGCGGACAGGTCCGAGGCATGTGAGAATGGAGAGTCAGAGGAGGCTACGGGCAGTGAACCCGTCTACAGCCCATACACATCGGAGGATTCCAACCAGACGATGGCATCGATCAGCTCGCCCTTCATTGAGGTGGACATGTTTGAAGAGCCCTGGCAGCGTGAGGGTGAGGTGACCGACTACTCCGCCAAGATGCCTGAACACGAAGTTCATGTGACTGATATGGCATCAGAATGTCAGCCTTTGGACTACGACCATGATGTCCACCCGGCTGGCTGGCGAGCGGACGGCTTCCGCAGAGTTGGGATCCTGAGAAATCCATCTTCCTGTACCAGAGCGAAAGTGCCCGCTGATCGATGGAGGCTGCTGGGGGATGTCCCTAGCCGACTGCGTCGGCCACTCACGCAGGCCGAGGTCTTGGAAGCATATCGAAAGGGCCAGTTGAACACTGGACAGACACGCCCGGCAGTGGCACGACCTGGCCTACATGAGGATGATGATCGTGAGGGGATAGCCTCAAATCCACGGGGAGAACGAGAATAGTGGCTGCACTCTCCATATCAACGTGAGGTATGGCGGGTGCACTTGACTCCCAGGCGGAGGATGTTTGTACCTGGGGTGGTTCCTGATGAAGATCATCTACAAGATGGGGACTACCTGATGCAGTACCTGGACTACAAGGTCTACGAGCGACTCAAGTGGGATATCAGACCCCTCTGGGCACCAAGGAGTATGTCCTGGACAACATCCATTGGAGGAGCTGGAATACCTCCCTGGATATGAACCGGTTGTGGAGGGGGGATCACCCGCTTTGTGACGTTGGATCCTGCCACGGACTACCCGGTTCTGGCGACCTGGATGCAGGGTAGACAAGCGGTTGAGGAACTGTGGAGGACGGCAGCTCGGGCTAACCAGGCCTACAAGTCGGTGATCAAGGAGGTGAATGTCACAGAGTTAGGCCAGGGCATGCCCTTGGAGAGCGAGCAACACGCCCAAATGATGATGAATGCGCTGGGCTACTTTGAGGCCTTCGCCACTGCTACGGCCTTGCCTCCGCCGGCTCCTCCGAGCCCGCAGGGAGGTTTGCTCGAGTTGGTGGAGCTGGACAGTAACGCTCTGCAGGATGTTGACAAGCCGGAGACTGGCAAGGTGCGACTTGAGCTGCAGTGGAACCAGTTGTCGCCAGCCTGGCAGGCAGCATTTGAACAGCCGATCATTGCTGCCCTGCACATTTATTTTGAGCACGATGCCCTGGAGCCCGTCATGCCGGAGGACTCAGTCCATGATTCGGAGATTCTGCCGAGCAGGTTCGTGCTTGTCAACAAGAGCGATCCAAAGAATACTCACCCGGCGGACGCCGATCTGGAAGAGGCCAAGCTCAAAGCTCGCCTGGTCATTGCTGGCCATCGGGATCAGCGTGCGGGTGACTATGCCACTGAAGCGCCCACTGCCACTCTCCTGGCACACAATTTCATCTGCTTTGTGGCCGCCCAGTACCAGTGGAAAATGTACTTTGCTGACATTTCCGCAGCATTCCTCCAGGGCGATTATCTCCCAGAGGGGCGGCGAGTGTTTTTGAAATCGCCCACCAACTACCCGCTCTTCGTCCGCCAGTACCTGATGTCCAAGGTACCTCCTGGCGCCCGGACGGACCTCTTCCGGATGAAGAAGGCGGGCTTTGGTCTTGCGGAGTCGCCGCGCCTATGGTATCAGCGCTTCAGGCGGGACATCATCGCCATCGGCGGTAGAGAGTTGCAGCTGGCCCCAGGTGTCTTTTCGTTCTTCGACACCGAGGTCAAACTGTGGGCGATGCTGGCGGTGCATGTTGATGATGTGAGGTTCATCTGCAGCCCAGTGGCAGAGAAGGAGCTGTGGCCCAAGTTGAAGGGATTGTTCACGTTTGGTGATTGGGTGCACCCCGAGGAGTTCACCAAGTTTTGTGGTAGATGGGAGCGACAGCTGCCTGATGGGACGGTGGAGGTGCAGATGAACGAGTGCGCCAAGAAGGTGAAGGAACCTCCCTCGAGATCAGCTTTTCGGGCGATGGCTCCGCTGATGCCGAATGAGAAGTCATGGATTGGTGCCATCATCGGACAGTTGAACTGGTTGGCACGTCAGGCCCGAGCTGATCTGCTGTACGGCTGTTCGAGGATCCAGCAACTTGCGGGCACCAATGACCCGGCGGCTTTGCAGGAGCTCAAGGTGCTGGTGGAGCGAGCCAGGGAGCCTCACACCCAGGTGTTCAAGAAGCTTGGCTGTGGTGTGGACAAGATGATTGTCCTTGGCGTTTCTGACGCCTCGTTTGCTGGCATGCCCCGAGGCCGATCGCAAGGAGGATCAGTGCTGATGTTGGCAAACCCTCTGGTGCTGGAAGGAGCAGCACCGGTTTGCGTGATCGCATGCCATTCAGGAGTCCTCAAGAGGGTGGTCCGATCTTCACTTGCGGCCGAGATCTCCCAGGCCGCAACGACCATGGAGGAGGCGGACTACCTGAGGGCTTTCATGGCGGAGGCCTTGGATGGAGCGTTTACGCTCCGCGGCTGGCTTGCAGCTGTGGCCAAATGGCGGCAGATGTCAGTGCTGGACTCGCGCACTGGCTATGACCTCCTCAATGGGTCAGCATTGGGAGAGGACAAGCGCCTTGCCATTGACGTGGCGGCGATGCGCCAAGCACTCCAAGAAGATGGAGCCTCACGGTTGGTCAGATGGGTGCCTGGTGAAGAGATCATTGCGGATGACCTCACCAAGCTTGCTGGAAATGGCCGACTGATGAGGGTGATGTCCTTGGGCAGTTGGGCCTTAAAGGACACGGAGTCCGCGAAGAAACTTCGCGCTGATGCTGCCGCTCGTAAACGAGCTTTTAGGCAGCGAAAGGCATCAGCTCCAAAGGGGGCTGGTGTGGTTTGACGCGCAGCCCGTCGCGGCCCTGAGACGGCAAAAGTGGAGCCGTCGAGCTTTTCTAGTGTAACAAGAAGCTATTAGAATTAAATTAGACTAAATTAGACTTTAATTTAATTCTAATAGCTTCTTGTTACTACTAGTAAGGCACTTGTTACTACTAGCGTGGCACTTGTTACTGCAAACAAGGTTTGCAGTCTGGAGTTACTTTCCATGTTGTGTCCTTCGTACTTACAGCCCTCGTCACAGTTTGGTCTTCCACTCCACGATCCAGTGCAAGTTAAATGCGAGAAAGTTCTTTTGGGCCTCCCCGAATCGACTTGCTGCTTCAGACAAAGTTTCTTGACTCATTGACCAACCCTTCCTAACGCTAGTAATTAGGTGGAGGCCATCGCTGGTAGGTTTTGACCCACCCTTTATGAAACAAGCCTTTTGATGTCGAACATACGAATCGAAGCAGAGGACAAGAAGCTACTAGGGGCTCCTGGCATCGCTACTAGGAGCAAAGGGCAGAGGGAACGAATCGAAAGAAAAGAACGAGTCGAGCCTTGTCGCAGGGATGGAGCAACTGGACGTGACGCGGCTCCTCGCTGGCCTCAAGCGGGGCGCAGTTCCGGGTGCTGAAGCTGAGTGCACGATGCAAGGGTTTTGGGATCGAGAGACGGACCGAGTGACGGAAGAAAGAGAGTGAAGTGAAAAAGGATGAACGGAAAGAGGAAAGGCTCACTGGTTGGTTTTGGAGTATCAAGTGCCGTTTTCTATGCAAGTTTTTTTAGATTTCTATGCAAGCTATCAATCTATCCGACAAAGATAGAACAAGTATTCGCGAAGCGGATCTCGCTCCGAGGCATCAGTCGTTTTGACGGCTAAGGTGCTGATGGAAGCGTGGAGTTCTTGTGCAACAAGCCACTGCCCCAGTTTTGGGAATAGACTCAGCGCATACCGGTTCACAGTAGGAGGTTTTTGAGGAGGTTCCGCAGGAGGTTCGAGTGCGTGGCAGTGCAGGTCCTAAGTTGTTGCGCATGTTTCAGACCAGAGCAAGTTGAGGAGCCGAAGAAGGCACGTGAAAAAAAAAGGAAAGGATTACAGAACAGGTCTAAAGGTGATTGAGCCCCTAGTAGCTTCTTGTTCCTAGTGGTAAGGCCAGGAGCCCCTAGTAGCGTCCCTTGCTCCTAGTAGCGTCTAAAGGTGATTGAAGGTGTTCTGGTCTGTCCTTTTTGGGGGCGGCTTCCAGTGAGGGACGAAGTATCGGACACAGGCTGCAGGTCCGTGAAGGGATCGGAAGGCACAAGCACAGGTGAGAAAGAACCGAAAGAACCTTGAGGCCTTTTTCTTTCTGTCTTTCTTCCTTTAGACCTTTGTGTTCTTTCTTTCAGACCTTGTTTCACCTTGATGCTTTCCGATGCTTTAGATCACGAAGCTACTAGTGACAAGTGCATCGCTAGTAGTAACGAGAAGCTACTAGGGGCTCCTGGCATCGCTACTAGGTAAGGACGCGCCTAGGGGCTCCTGGCCTTACCACTAGGAACAAGAAGCTACTAGTAACAAGTGCTTGCTGGGGCCGTGCTTGGACTTATTTCGCACCTTGGCACTCCACACCACAAGCCACACATTGCAAGTCACCACCTTATGCTTCACCATTACATGAATCACGTGACTCCACCAATACTACCCTCTTCTTTGAGGAAACGTCCACCTTTGGAGATATTCAGAGATTCCCAACGGTAAATGTAAAGGAGATCAGGTTGGCGATCTCGTGACCCAACAGTTTTGTCGAAGTCTTCCAGTCGACTTCGTGAGGTTCTCTGGCCTTGTTGATCGCTTGAAGCAGGCTGAGGCAAATCCGGCGAATCTGATTCCAACAAGAAACAACTAGTAATAAGCATTCCAACCTACTAGCAATGGCCTCCAACCTAATTCCAAAGATCACTGGTTCATCACCATGATCATACAAGACTTCATGAGAAGAGTAGTACTCACGGCCCAACCATTGCATTCAATGGGACACTAACGATGATGGGTAAATATGAATGTGTTCTCGTGGCATCCCTCCAAAGCAAAAGAAGCCAAAGCGAGACAGCCAATGGTAAGCTAAGGTGTTTGTTTGTTCCTTTTTCGAGGCGAAAGAGGCACAAGAGAAAGAGAACTGTGCCGTCCTGGAGGTGCCTAACGGCGAGCCTAACTTGGTTCTTGAAAGCTAAAAGTTGCTAGGTAAGAGAAAGAAAAGAAAGACATGAAAGGAAAAGGAAAGGTCAAGGTCTAAAGCTCTAAAGAGAAGGAAAGACACAACAAAAATGAAAAACAAAAATGGAAAGAAAGGTCTCGACAGTTCATGTCCCCTCGGCTCCCTTCATGATTTCATTTGCAAGGCTAAATTGCAAGCTGAAGAGCAGCAAGCAGATGCTGAAAGGAGTTCATCCTGTGGGAAGAAGACTTCAAGCTCCAACGCAGAAGTCATGGGATTCTGCAGACTTGCAACTTCAGCTGAGTCTTTCTCCAATTAGCCATCGCCCTCGCTATTGGGTTGGAGGCCATTGCTATTATTTGTGCCCCTAGTAGCGTCCTTGCTCCTAGTAGCGATGCCCTTTGCTCCTAGTAGCGTCCTTGTTACTACTAGTAAGGCACTTGTTACTAGTAGCGATGCACTTGCTCCTAGATTGTCCCAGGAGACAGCTAGAAGTCGCCACCATTGCTGCCCGCGAGGACCGTTTGCTAGAGTTTGCGAGAATGAGGATCCAGTGGTCATTGCGGATAACATGTTGGATGGCCTAGTAGCATGGATGGCCCTAGTAGCTTCTTGTTCCTAGTAGTATGGCCAGGAGCCCCTAGTAGCGTCCTTTGCTCCTAGTAGCGATGCCCTTTGCTCCTAGTAGCTTCTTGTTACTACTAGCGATGCACTTGTTACTAGTAGCTTCTTGTTCCTACCCCGGCTATTTTGCATGGATGGCCTCTTTGCTCTTTTTGCATCCCCAGGACACTCGTAAAGTGGAATCAACGGTGACGGAGGCAGGCTTCTTGGGCCTCACATCACCACTTCAACACGTTGGCCACGAGGTTTGGAAGCTGCAAGCAACATTGACTCGCCATTTGGGACCCTTTTTTCAGATCACTATATAGTATCGCTAGCAGGTTGGAGGCCATTGCTATTAGGTCAAAGAAACCGTTGTCTCTTTCTTGAACTTCAAGTCGCCACGTAAGTCAAGTCATACTTTGGCTTTTAGTAGATTGGGTTGAAGGCACAGGACGCACGCGACGCACACCACGCACACGGCTTGAGAGGTGTAATCTAGTAGCTTCTTGTTACTACTAGTAAGGCACTTGTTAAAACTAGCGTGGCACTGGTTACCGGCTTGAAAGGTGCTTCAACAAGAGATCCAGGCGAAAGAGGAGCTCTCGGCTCTCCGAGCTGAGGCGGAGGTCGGGAGTCGGAGAGGAGTAGACCGGAGGTTCGGGTTGGAACAGGCGAAGGAGAGGAGTCCAAAAGGTGTTTCTTCTATTTCCTTTTCTGGTCCGGTCCGCGGATGGGCAGCACTAGGCCCTGGCGCAACGGAAGCGCACGTTGGATGAGACGTGACCAGAACTCAGTTGGCATTAGGAGCGATCGGACGCTACTAGGGGCTCCTGGCCTTACTACTAGGAGCAAAGACGCTACTAGGAACAAAGGGCATCGCTACTAGGAGCAAGGACGCTGCTAGATTGGAAGCCATCGCTATTAGAGAAAAGAAAAGAGTCAAGAGTATTAGGAACGATGGCCTCCAACCCAATAGCGCGGTCTTAGTCTTGCCAGTCAAATGCCATACTTAGGGATTATGGGATCCATTTTTTTCTACACGTGGACAACATTCCGACATGATCCAGAGGTGCGTTTCTTTGCGTTTTTCAACCAGCCAAAGAATCTTGCAAGATCTGCACGAAGACCTCCCCCCCAGACCAACATGTCGTTTGGATAGAAGGATGAACATCCAGACTGACCCCTTTCATCCTGAAAATGTCCTAGATATGTGGCCTCATGACTATCAGGAGCAAGGACGCTACTAGGTTGGAGGCCATCGCTACTAGCAGCAAGAAGCTACTAATCGCGATGGCCTCCAACCTAGTAGCGTCCTTGCTTAGGTTGTGGCCTCATGGGGCATATCTGGCCAATCCTTTGGTCTCTCCATCCGATGTCGAACATCACCCGGGCCCATTTGGCTGAGGTCGCAGCGAACATGCCAAGGCCGTGGAGGCACAGGGCCGTTTGCGGCGGCAGCAGATGTCCGGGAAGCCCGGCTGATGCATGTTTTAAGCAGCCATGCTCCTAGTGGCTTTATTGTTACTAGTAGTAAGGCCAGGAGCCCCTAGTCGCTTCCTTTGCTCCTAGTAGCGATGCCCTTTGCTCCTAGTAGCGTTTTTGGGTAATGTGTTGTTTACATCTAAATTCTGCAGGGAATTCCGCAGGGATGTTCCCCCAGTAGCCCGTAGGCAGCAGATATTCACGCATGCACGGATTCTTGGTTCAATGCGCACGGGTAGTTCGGTCACAGTCAAGATGATTGATGGCATCGTCGTGAATAGGCCAGGAGGTGTTGAACCCATCAGGCTAGCCTAGGAGGCCAATGGAGGCGTTACTTGCATGACTCTTTCAGCAGAAATCAAAGAGGCCATGGAGGCCATCGCTTTTGGGTTGGAGGCCATCGCCATTAGAAACAACAAGCTACTCGTAGTAAGGTGCATCGCTACTAGGAGCAAGGGCGCTACGAGTAGCTCCTGGCATTACTACTAGGAACCAGAAAGCTACTAGGAGCGAAGGGCATCGCTCAGATTTTGAGGTCCAGACCCCAAGTGATGGAGGAAGTGAAGCGGCTCCAGGTGGGGCAGATTCGGCCCTTGGGCTGGACAGCCTGTAATGGGGACTCCGTTGGGGAGGGCGCCTTCTTGCTAGGAAGGAAAAACCAAGCAAGAGACAAAAGAGCGTTGTGTTACCTATTGTGCTTCTTCCTTAAGCTTTAAAGCCTTCTAGTTGAAGAGGAACTGGCCATGCTTGAGTTTGGTTCCTTGTCTTTGATCCCTGCTTGGCTTCCGTTGCTGGGAATCGGGGTTCCTGGGGGTTCCGATCGGCAGGCGCAACTTCAGCAGTTCTCCACGCGGAGTAATGCGATCTCGGCGGAGATGGTCCTTGGGCCAAGTCTTGCGATGACTAGGAACAAGAAGCGATTAGAAACAATAATTAGAAGTAGATTTTAAGTAGAAATAAACTCGAGAAGCTACCAGGATTGTTTCGCGCGGGTGGTAGGAACAAGAAGCTACTAGTAACAAAGGGCATCACTACTAGGAGCAAGGACCGACTAGTCGCTCCTGGCCATGCTATTAGGAACAAGAAGCTACTAGTAACAAGTGCATCGCTTTTAGTAACAAGAAGCTACTAGGAACAAGTGCCTTGCTAGTAGTAACAGGTGCCTCACTACTAGGAACAATGTTCGCTATTAGCTTGGCTTTTACCGCTCCTTTCTTCTCAGGAAGTCCTCCAAGCACGAGCCCAAAAGGACGAGGAGCCGAAGATGGCACGAGCAAAATCAAAAGGAAGGCTTCTTGTTCCTACTAGTAAGGCACTTGTTACTAGAAGCGAGGCACTTGTTTCTAATAGCTTCTTGTTCCTAATAGCTTCTTGTTACTAGTAGCAATGCCCTTGTTACTAGTAGCGATGCACTTGTTACTAGTAGCTTTGGTCCAAAAAGAAAGAATCTATTTGATTGGAGGCCATCGCTGGTAGGTTGGAGACCATCACCAGCTGGTTGGAGGCATCGTTAGTAGCTTGGAGGCCACTGCTGGTAGGTTGGAGGCCATCGCTATGGAAAGATCAAGGATGAGCTGGTGACCCAGTGATGACATAGCAGTCGGACAGCAAGGTCTCCAGGAGTTAGTTTGCGAGATGGGGGGCTTTATTCCTTGATCCATGATGAAGTATTGTCGGTTTCAAGAAGCTGTTGTGTTCTCGGTAGTTTTCGACTGTTTGTTGCATCTCCTGATTGGAGCCATCTGCCCTTGGGATGATGTCAACGGTCGCTGTGCAGGAGAGCTTTGTGAGGCTGAAGGCAGAGCTCGCCGGAGAAGAAGAGGCGGCGATGTCTTCCAATCTCCCTGAAGCTTTTTAACATTACTTCACTCACTGAAACATGCAACGCCGACAAGGAAGGTTTCCTGGTTTGCTTGCAGAAGAATTGGGCATTCACATGCATGTTCCAGCCACTTCGAGGCTCGGGAGGATTGCTTGGGATCTGCCACGGTCGCCAGAGAAGACTTAGACCAGGCCAAGTCCGGAGTGATGTAGAGCGAAAAGAATGGAAAAAGGACAAATAGATGTTGAAAGCACATCTGAAGCTACTAGTAACAGGTGCCACGCTAGTAGTAACAGGTGCCTTACTAGTAGTAACAAGAAGCTACTAGTAACAAGTGCATCGCAACTCAGTGGGTCTCATGTAAGCAGCATGTAGGCATGTATGTTTTTGCTGGAATTTCACAACTGAGCAGACCTGCAGAGATGTAAGTCCCACTCCCCCGTCAGCTTCGTATTTGTCATGTTTGTGTTTTTTGTTTTGCCCCTAATAGCGTCCTTGCTCCGAGTAGTACGACCAGGAGCCCCTAGTAGCTTCTTGTTCCTAGTAGCGATGCCAGGAGCCCCTAGTAGTGTCCTTGCTACTAGTTCTCCGCTTTTTTGATTGTTTTCTTCGGACCTTTACACCCATTCTTTGAGTCGTTTTTTTTATTCGTTCTTGCAGACTGCCAACACCTTCGTGCCGGACAGGCTCTTGCAGACTTGGCCTTGCTCCAGGAGCAATTGGCCGAACGCCAGGCCGAATGGAACACCCAAACATTGAATTGGAAGGTGTTCTTGTTAAAGCCCAAAAAGGGTTTGGCCAGTAGAAGAGGTGGGTAGTAGCTACTGTAGAGGTAGGGAGTAGAAGACGATTTGCTAAAAGACATTTGTCCCGAAGCAGTCACCAACGACGCCCCGCCGGGACATCCAACCTAGAAGTGATGGCCTCCACCCTACTGACGATGGCCTCCAAGCTAAATAGGGATGGCCTCCGAGCTACTAGCGATGGAGCCCCTAGTAGCGTTCTTGCTCCTAGTAGTAAGGCCAGGAGCCCCTAGTAGCGTCCTTGCTCCTAGTAGCGATGCCAGGAGCGCCTAGTAGCTTCTTGTTCCTACTAGCGATGGCCAACGTCCTCTCAAGATTGGATCTGTTTCTTTTCCCTTTTGTCTCCTAGGTGGCCATTCAACGTCTCAGCGGTGAGTGCCAAAGGTGCACGATCTTCACCGTCGCATTTTGCACTTCGGGGCCTCACAGAATTGATGAAGTCTTCACAAAAAAAAGACGGTCAAGATTGCCAGATTCTTTGTCTAGGAGCAAGAACGCTACTAGGGGCTCCTGGCATCGCTACTAGGAG